TCTTATTGCAGCATGTGTTATTATTACCCTGCAATCTCCATGGAACAAATACTGGTCCACATGGAAGCAAGGAGAGAGAGCAGCTTTTGCTTTCCCTATAGACAAAGTATGCTGAAGTAGCTTTATTTACATGTGGTAAATGTACCTCCTCATTCTTCAACACACTCTAAACCACAAGCTCTCCCAACTGCTTTCACAGCAGGGAAGTCAGTATGAATCTGGATGAGATTCACTATTAGTAAACAAGCTATTACTGTCAGGATATTTTTTAAAAGTGTTTTCCTTTTAAATAGACTATTTAAATATTTTTCTCATAACAACGAAGCAAGCATATTGATAGAATCACCTTACAATTTCAGTGAATAGAACTAGATGGTTTGAGACACTTCACCGGACTTACATCAACTTGTCAATTTTATTCCAGCACACCCTTACCATGACCCAAAAATAGTGTTTTCCAGTAGGGAGGCTAGTGTTTAATAACTTTAAACACAGTCTTCTTATTAATGGCTGCTTATACATAGTATGGGTTTTTGCACGGGCCTTTTACAAAGAATGTAAGTATTTCATCAGTGCATACAGAGATTTCATCCAGATTATTTTGAGTAGATAAATCTCACGGTTTATATTCCCCCAGATAAAATACTTAAGCTGTGCAAGAGGTGGGTTAAGAAGTCTGATTCCTAAACTTCATTTAGGTAATGTGTTAAGTCTACATGACTGGACACTTACCTCTTCTAAAGAGCTATCTCCCATTTTACCACCACTTTTACCATGAGCTTTAAGTATCTCCCTCAGTCCAGTACCTGCTCCATGTCGAACCTAGAAAAGGGAAAGAAAATATTTAGGAACAGAAGACTAAAAACCACATTGGGTAACTGAAATAATACTTTATTTTTAATAGGGACATTTCAAGCACTGCAGAGTTAGTGGTACTTAAGACTTGTGGGAAAGGTAGTATTTTATTAGATCAAATCACACACTTCAATACTAATCTGTCCAAAATCAACCTGTTTTTTCTTAAGTATTTGCCAGGCTATGGACAGAAGCAATAAAGAATTGCTTCTATTTTCTAACATACAAGATATTGTTATCATATTTGCAGTAATGTAGCCAAAGACAGCTTTCATTTAGTTTTACCTCGCTATAAGACACTCGTTTTCCAAGCAAAAGCAACTAGAAAATACTACTGGTTTTAATAAGCTTATAAGCTAAAGAAAAGAAACATTCTTATGTTTCTTAAACATTGTATATTTCTCTTCATATTATATTTCTTAAACAGTGTTTGGATTCCCACTGAATATTTTGTGGTCTGTAAAACAAATTTCTATTCTGCATAGCTTACAAACCTGCCTTGCTTGGTTAAACAATAAAAAAATAAGTGCATAAGTGATACAGGAAAGCAAGTTATAGCCACTTGTATGTTCCCACAAAACATGCACAATGAAACACACTAGAGAGTTTTGGAAATGACAGAAGACCAGTAGAAAGATGTGCTACAGACACACCTGTTTCTGGTACTTTTGATACACAACTGGACTAGTAACTGGCTAATCAAGAAAAGCCCACACAATAGACACACAGAAAGTTGCAAAAGTAAAGTTTTGAACTATGTCTTCATTGAGAGGCCTTTACATAGGTTGGAGCAGAACTTTTTTCTTTTAAGGGCATTTCATATACATGCTTAATTAGCAAAAAATTGTTGCATTTCATTTCATAATAGTAACAACTAGAACTGAGTAGTTGCTAGGTCCTCCCTTCATCAGAATATCTTAGATGAAATGCAAGCATACACACCCCCATATGTACAGCTTGGTGGCTGTTGGTAAAAGCTACAAGCAAGTCAATAAAAACCAGCCAGAAAGCCTAGTCAAAATTTTAAGTGTTCACAATACACCAATCGTTTGTTTATTTGGTCCAAGACTGCTTATGAGCTAGTCTTTCCAAGCCAAAACTTTGCTAGTTCACTTCTCAGCTTCTGCAAACACAAAGCAACAGCAAGACAGACAAATGTGTAAAGCAAATACCAGTAGTAGGATTCATCTTGCCTGACTTCATTTGCCTATAAGCAAGGCAGTCTGAACTAGTCATCCAGGCTGCCTCTAGACACTGGAAGAAGATGCCAGAGGGCCACTTCTGTAACCTGTTTTTCATCCAGAACATAGTGCAATAATGATTCTGTATTGATCTACTTCCTTAATGAAGATGTGTCTGCTCTGTATCAGATGTACTAAGAAAGCGATGAGAATGCCTGCATTTCAGAGGACAAGGCGATTTTGGCTTCAACCGCAAACAGCCTGCTTTCAAATAAGGTGAGGCTTATTAGCTCAGCTGCAGTGATGTGCTACATGAACATAACTATCCTTTTTCTGGGCCCAACATAATTGTGCTGGCTGCATATGATCTATCTCTGTGTTTCCAAGTTTGATGTCAGTATGGGCAGAGCAAACTTGCTATCACTGAAACTGTGCTACAGGTATACTTAAATAAGTTGGTGTTCACATTTATCTTTGAAAAGATCAGATTTTTTATTAAAAAACTGAAGTTAGTTGACAACAGTTATTTCCATCTTCTGCTCAAGGAAGATAGACCATTGTCAGCTACTTTGTATTTTTGCTTGGAACTGATAGCAAAGTTTGTGGAAAATAGTATAAGGATTGAATAAAAGGGTGAAACAAACTGGCTTTGAATCTTGAAAATAAGTTATCCACGCAACAAAATATATAGTTTTTGAGGTTGGTATTCACTATCATTCCAAAAAAAGTTAGAAGTTAATTTTTATAAAAGAAGAGAACAACTAACGATTTGTAACCTACCCCATTACCAAAGGAGTGATTCCCTGCACCTTTTCTACTAGCATTTGACAAACATACCACAGTTGTCAGCAACAGACTCGCACAATATTCCTCAAACTCTTGTTGAATCCAAGCCTGTTTTAATTACATCTTTTTAACCATAGATTCATTATTTCACCTGAATTTCAATACTTCCAGAATTCTCACTTATAATCAGTGTTTTCCATACCTTTCCCACTCTCCACTTGAGTATACATTACACATTTGTTTTCATTTCCCCTTTAAATGAGTCCTAAAAACACTTAAGCTCTCTAAAAGCAGATTTATCTTGGCTATGGAATCTGTATTTACAATTGATGTAACTTCTGATATCTAGTAAAATGCTCTTAAATCCTATACATACAATTTTGGTGTTTCTGTTGAAGCCTTTTTTTTAAAAAAAAAAATCTACATGTGCAGTATCTAAGGTGTAACTGTGTCTTACCTCCCAAGAAGGGTTAAAGAGATCATTGCACACTTCTTCACAAAAGCTTTCCAGAGGCCATTCATTTGCCTAAATTCACAAAAAATTACTAAGTACCAGATTAAATCAGAAAGCGATCAAACACTTATATTGTATGCCACTTAGATACATGAAGATAACGAAGACCTCCAAAAACGTAAGTATTTTTCTTTGTTACTGGACAGAATTGAAAAACAAAACAAAAGCACACACAAAAACACCCCTAAAATACAAACCACCGTCTTCCACACTTCAAACTTTGCTGATTGGCACCAGATCTTTTAAAAAGCTTATGAAGTTTGTCTGTTAGTAGTGTAACCTCTTCTCTATGGTAATTAATTTTGATGTTCTGGAATTCAGCCTCCCTTTAGAAACCACACTAAGGCAGAAAATTAAGTAAATTTCTTATTCTCCCCAGGGATTCTTTAAATCTATGAACTTTGTCTTTAAATAAATTGGCAATCTCAGTTTGAAATTATACTACATAATCAAACTGGGTCAATTAATCCAATAGTAAACACCACCCTTTCCAAAACACATTCCACATTTTTGAGAACCGGAAGTATATCCACTATCCCAAGATTTCCTACAAGGAAACTGACACAGCTGTCAAAAGGAAATTATGAACATTAGGACATTACTAACATTAGTAAGTTCACACCATCACAAACACAAAGTATTTTAAAGGCTAGCAAGCAGCAGCTATTCAGCCTGCAGTTACCATTAATCTCTCAAAATAACAAGAATTTAATTAGTAAACTATGTCTGGAAAAATCTTACTTTTGTAGAACACAGACTAATCAAGATAAAAGTCTCTTCAAAAAAACTTCTGTGTACCCTTTGTATTCTGGTATAGCATTTCTTACAATTTTTCAGCTTTTCAGTCAAAGACAAATGCAAGTTTTTCTAAGACTAAGGTAATTTTCAACTACTAAAGATAGAACTTAATTCTAAATTAAGCCTAATTAAAGTAAGGCAAAGATTAAATAAAGCGTACATGAACATTTAGATCAAATTATTTATGGTTCAGTGTAATCCTATCATCTAAGTGTTTAGCACAGTTTTACAGTTTAATACCCAGGTCTCACACCTGTAATCCACCCACTCAAGTTCATTTGGGTCGCAAACTGCTACCAATGGATTAAACTTGTTTTCTTCCTCCACGCTATACACAGTCTGAAGTTCATTTGCTTCATTACATATAAAAGTAAGCTGGCAATGGCATTCTTTACTTCATTTCTCTTAATGCTAAAATGGCTAAAGAATTCAGGAGCATATAGCAGTTTTGTTTTACATTACTCTGCTAAAAAACAGAATGATCATT